GCATACTGGGCTGCATTGGTAGGTGTGTTGCCAGTATGTCAAGGGAAGTAATTATTCCCTTCTATTCAGCTTTGGTGATGCCACATCTGGAGTACTGAGTTCAGTTTTGGGCCCCCCACTACAAAAAGGATGAGGGAAGTGAAGGGGTATTTCCAAAGTTCTGAATGTTGCCTGATCTTTGTTCCCTTTGAAGTCCAAGGCTAAACTAAAATCAAAGACAATCCCACCACAAATATATGTTTAGGTCTGTCTTTCTCCTTTCTCATCCTCACCCACAATAGCTTTAGCTTTTCACTAGATGATCTGTCATCACACAAAAGGGATGTCTGGCTGCAGCAGACCTAATGCAGTGTTCTGTAGTGGGAACCCACCTCTAATTCAGCCATCAGTGACCAACCTGGGTCACCCATCAGTCATGACAGGCCAAGTTTCTGTTTGCATTAATAATGCACATGTATTTATGTGAAAATAGGATAAGATGCACCCATGGAAATCTCAGTATCTAGTGGTACACCCATTTGTCTAGGTTTACTCTGGAGACTGTAACTGGGACAAGGGCCTAAGTCAGCATAACTGATTGCTACTTGTCCTTTCCTTTTTTATGTCCTTGTGACAAGGTAGTTAGCAGAATGCACAGATATCTGACAGGCTGTGTGACCTCTTGGGCTGTCAACCGAGGTCCCATTGCTACTTGTTGCAAGAAGAAAATCAGAATCCTAAGGGAAGAAACTGCCGCTTGTACCTCCATTTGGTCAATGTTAGGAAGGGGGCAGACATACTTCAGCCCGAAAAAGAGAAGGCTGAAAGGGGACTTGGTAGCAGTTTACCACTACATTAGCGGCGTACATCAAGGGCTCAGTGAACAACTGTTCACCGGGCACCCTTGGGGAAAACTAGGAGTAATGGCCACAAACTCCTGGAAGACTGTTTCAGGCTCAGTGTTATGAAAAACTTCTTCACAGTCAGGGTGTTCAGACTGTAGAATAAGCTCCCTCCAGAGGTGGTTCAATCACCTACCCTGGAAATCTTCAAGAGGAGACTAGACAGTCACCTTGCTGGGGGCACCTGACCCCCAGTTATCTCTCCTGCTTGGTGCAGGGGGCTGGACCCGATGATCTTCTGAGGTCCCTTCCAGCCCTGCAATCTGTGAATCTATTGGAGGAAGTATGTCCAGCCCTGCAATCTGTGAATCTATTAATCTCTTTTGGAGGAAGTGTGTCCAGCCCTTTTCTGCCAGAGGAGCAGCAGCAGCATTGTGATCGCCTTTATAACAGAGGTGAAGGAATCCTCAGAGCTCTAATGCCATGGGAAAGCTAAAACTCTTGTTCTGTGTATATAAAAACCAGGGAGGGACTAATGAACTATTTGCAGCTAAAAACCCATTCAGTTACCCAAGTACTGGGTTTTTCTCATGGATTATATGCAGATGCATGAGTTATTAATTTGAGCCAATTCCCTGTTGCTGAAGAGTTATTTGACTTCAGGTCCTGTGTACAGAGCTGGAATCCTCCACAGTGGAGCTGCTTCCTCCTCACCAGCTGAGGGCCTTTCTCTAAGTCCTCTGTCCTCGGCCTCTGCAGTCCTTACTGTGTCACTGGTCTGCAGAAGCAGACTGCATTGATCCTGCTGCCTGGCTGAGTGGCTCCCAAACGCCCACAACGCACTTCCAGGAGCGCTGTGCAGACACTTCTGCACCTATGTATCTTTGTGGAGTCTCATCACTTCATTGGCCACAAAGAGACGTGGGCACAAGCAGTCACTCTCAGTGGAACATGAATAAAAGAGGTTATAAAAGTCACAGGAGCAAATTCACAGCTTGCAGCCAGGCAGGTACTCGCAAGCACCTTTCTGTAGTCTTTGCTGAGCTCCAGGAAACTTAGGGTAAAATTTTCCAAAAAGAGCAAGTCTGAATCAAAAAAAAGACTTTAAAGCTTAAATCTCATTAGAATAAACAGTGGAATTTAAAGCACGTTGAAAGTGGGAGTTAGGCTCCTAAATCAGCTAGGTGTGTTTGAAAAATGTTATCCCAGTGCAAGAAGTTGTATTAGTTTAATTTCCTTTGAAGCCTAACACGTCTTTCTCTCCCTTCTCTTTCTCTCACCCACAGAGATCACATGGTGTTACATTATTCTGAGAAATGTTTAAAGCTTAAGTGAACATGTTTTTTTTCTCCACGCCTGATGAATAACTGAGTACTGCGCACCACAATTTAAGGGCAGAAATGGGAAACAGGCAGCATGTAATAATTTACAGGGACACCTTCCAATTAATTTTGCCTTTGGTACAAATATGCCATGACAACTACAAACCAAACCTCTCCCTCAGTCCGGAATCTGTTATTTTATTTTGTTGAATTAGCACCGGCTGCTTTCTGTAGCTGTGGAGCTCAGTCTCAGAGGCACCTCACATCTCCAGGAATGGTGTTATCAAAAACAGATGTTCCCATTGCTGGCTCTTGCATGCAGTATAATAAACTTTTATTCTCCCTTGGGCAGATGCTACATCCTGGAGAATGATACTGTTCAGTGTGACACAGATCTGTACAAGTCACTGCAGGCTTGGAAGGACCATAAACTTCATATTGACCATGAGGTCAGTGATTTTTACCAGTCATATGCATGCTGCATGATGATGTTTATGTTTAATCTTTCCACTTGGGAATTGAATTACCTTTGTTTGGAATTGTGGAAATGAGAGACATGGAAGAAAAGTTGCCCTGTAAAGGTCTCCCTCCAGGAGCTATGCGTTTGCCCTGTCCAAGGCCAATATGGCCATCAAAAGTTACACTAAGCAAGTTGTTGCTGATATTTGGGGAAAGAAAATACCTTGATTTTCCTATGGCTCTAAGGTCAAGTTTCTATCTTAAGTGGCCAGCAGAAGCAAACTGTGCAATCCAGGTTTGCCCTTGGCTTTTAGGATCAGTTACAGCAGTTTCAGACCTAGACATAGCCAAGGAAAATGTATGCAAGAGCAAGATAAAGGTGGGGAAAGAAAAATCCTTTGGACACGGGGTGAGGGGGAGAGGACAGGGACACAAGTGAACCATCCAACAACTCTTTCTTTATTTCCCTGTGCATTTTTTTTTTTTTTTTTATTAGATTGAAACACTGCAAAATAAAATAAAAAACCTAAGGGAGGTGAGAGGTCATCTGAAGAAGAAGCGACCAGAGGAATGTGATTGTAACAAGATAAGGTATTTGCTGTAATGATACGCAACTATCATTGATTTAAGTCTTGACAGAAGGGGTCAGAATCTGTTTCACTGGAACTAACAGTGAATGGACTGTGGCTTCACTAACCAGGTAAATGCAATACCTTGGGTGTGTCCCACCTGGCAGGGCTCCTCTGTGAGAGTTGGGTGGCTGCACAGAGGAAAATCCTTTTAATCCAGAGCTCCAAATCCAGTGTCCTTAGTTCAGCTGCTGTACCCACGCTGTCTTCCTACTACCACCTAAAATAATCAAGCAAATGCCTGGAGAAGCATATTATTAAAATGGGTGATTATAAAGATGAGTGGCAATAAATCTTTCTATGAAGTGCTGGGTCTTCTCTGTGGCCTTTTGTCCTTCTCTGCCAGCAGTTGTGCTGTTAGACTGGCGTTGTCCTGCCTGTAATGAATTAGTTCTGCACTGCAAGAAAAGTGGCAGAATTCAAGCATTTCTGCTTTTCTTGAGAGCAAAAGGGACTACGTAACAAACGGAGCCAGAAGCTTTTTCTTTAAACATGCTTTCCATCAAGGGAAATGGCCAGTAGACTGTGATATCACATTATCTGCTTTTAATAAGAATAGTGCACAAGTGGAATAATGGAGAAGTTGGGAGAGAGAGATTTCTCCCCATTCAGCTTAATCGGGGCCAGAATCTTCCATTTCAGAACAGGCAGTGCTCTGTGATGAAACCATTGGCAGTTGCTGGCCGGAAGAAGCAGGTATTTTCCAGTTTGTAGGTAGCAGTTGCAACTCTACAGCCAGCAATGATGTAGATGTACCAATTTTTTTCTTCCTGGTGCTGCTCATTATGAATTCTAAATGCAATAGTATAATGTCCAAGTAGTGATTGTGCGTCATGACGTCGGCACAGTTGGTTTCTAATGTACCCAAAGGGTGCATCTACTACACATGCTCTAGACTACAGTTGTTACTGCACAGTCCGGATGCCACACAGGTATTTTCCTACGCTACTGCACAGTGGCAGCGAGCTGCTGCACAGTAGCTCGTTGCTATTGCACAGTAGAGTCAGCATCACCGTTTGTGCCCACCGACGCTGTGTTGCCATAGCAACAAGCTACGGCGACGTACCTCGTCGCTGTAACGACATAGCGTCTCCTGTTAGACGCACCCAAAGACTTGCAGAAGGGCTGTAAGCTAGCCCGCAAATTGCACAGGAAGACTACCTTAAGGAATGCACCTGGAAACCTCTTCACAGATTCAGCCAAGCTTTTGCTCAGCAAATGAGCATAACAGATAATCTTCCAAAAGCACATGTTTAAGTGCTTGAATAAAATTTACCTCCAAGAATGCTGCTTAGAAAAATGACTTGTGTGCCAGGAGCACTGAGCATTGCTGCTGAGTCTGACAGTGATCCAAAGGTTGCCATGAGAATGCCATGTATGCAGCGGTTAGTAGCATGTGTGCTCTGCAGAGCAGATGGAGTGTCCAGCACCGATAGATAAATTAGACAGCAGCACCACCTGCCTTTAAACACTAGCTGTTAAACAGGGTTTTAAATGGGAAAGTGCTGTGAAAAAGCATGCATCAGTGGAGCATAAAGTAGGAAGCTAAATTAAATTAATGCTAAGTATTGAACAAGGTCTGAGTGTATATAACGCACTGATATAGTTCTATGGGGTGCAAATACTCCATATAATATTTTCAAGGATACAGCATGCAAGTCCCATGAAGCTTATGTAACCATATTAATCACTGCTTTCAAAAAGTAAAGCTTTTAAAAGTAGTGTTAAGAACAAATTTTGCTGTAACTAAGAAGAGAGAGATGAGATTATGTGACTATTAAATATTTTGGTCTGCTTGTGCATGCTTATATGTATATATAACCTTAGTCATGTGACTGATCCTTTAGAAAGGGATGGGCAAAATGCAGCCCGTCCCTTTCTGGCTGGATCTGGCTCTAACTGATTGGATCTGGCCTGCAGGTGAGCACCTGCCAATTGAGTGCATCTGGGCCACAGCTGCCCCTGCAGCTCTCTGCTTGGGGCTGAGCCCGGTCCACTCCCACCCAAGGCAGCCGATGCCATGCTCCCACTAGCCCCAGCCAGCATGTGCAGCTTCCCAGCAGGACTGCTCCCAGTGCAGCTGCAGCCTCCCAGGTGCTGCTTAGCTCCACCTGCCTCTAGTGGCTCCTCCTTCTCCTCCTGCCTCTGCTGTACTGCTCCAGGTTGGCGGGAAGCTGCAGCTGGTAGCTTCTGCCCAGTACACAGGGTTTCAGCTTCAGCTCCTGACCACCTTTCACTCGCTCTACCTGCCTAGTGCAATGAGCAACCACCTGTGGCAGCCAAGCGGGTGGAAGGCAAGCTGGAGCTGGAGCCCCATGTGCTGGGGCAAGAGCTGCCCAACTGCAGCTCCCCCCACTGCCACCTGGCTGGGCATGTGGTGCCAGGTGTGTGTCCCAATGGTTGCCACCCTTACCTGCTGCCTGGAGTGGCAGAGGGGCAGGAGGAGGAGGAGCCACTGGAGGAGGGGGGAGCCACACCAAGAGCAGCCCAGCTCGGAAGCGGTAGAGGCTGCCTCAGGCAGGAGCAAACAGGGCTTAGCCCGATGCTGAGTGCTGCGGGAGTAGTCTTGGGCCAGGTGGGGGTGGGGGGGTGGACTGCACCTGCAGCGCACCAACAAGCTCTGCTGTATGTGCCCGCTGGCTCCCCTCACCCTGGCTGGCTCCTGGGACCTGGTATGTGGGGAGTGCCCCTCCCCCCCATGCACAATATACAAGAGTACGATTTTGTTTTGAGCTACTATGCAATTGTCTCTGTATGTACTGCTAAAAAGACATAAATCAAGACAAAAATTATTTTTTAAACTAAAATTAAAATATGTTATAGTAGATGTTTGATTTTTAGTATATGATTTGTTTTTTAATTATAAATTGTTAAAATGATATCTTGGGAAAGATTTTGTGTGTGTGGCCCTAGACATCACACCAAAACTCATTAAGTGGCTTTTGAGCCAAAACAATTGTCCACCCCTGCCTTAGAAGTTAATGAGATTACTCAGGGTTAAAGTTACAAATGTGAGAGGTGTTTGTAGAATTGTAAATATGGTTGTATTTACTGATTAATAAATTAGGTACACACCACATGTATACATGCTGGTTATTTGAAAATCCTACTGCTGTGTTATGTAAAACTTATTGCCCCTATGATATTCACAAACAGTTATTTTAACATTTCTTTAGGTAAGTACATTGTTTTATTTTCTTTTTGCCTTTTGAAGAGAATGTCAGAGCCTGCAGGAGCTGCCTGAATTCAGTCTGCTGGACTATATAGATTAAATTGCAATAGTTCAGAGGTGTCAAACATACACCCCACAGAGTCCCATAATGCATCCCTCAATACTGCCCTGTTGACCTAGATCCAGCTACACTGGATCAGCTTCTCTGCCAGGACCATGTGCTGCCCATGGCACTTAGTGGTGCCGGTTGCCAAGCTGTAGCTGGGTCCTGGGCTGCATTGCTCACGGTGGCCTGTGCCACACGTGGTGTCTGCTCAGGTTGGCAGATGCCATGTGCGCTAGCTCAGGCATGTGGGTGGGGGTCCACTGGCCTGGACCTGCCTGTGGACCAGCCCCACACCACTCATCCAGCCTGTGGGGCCAGGTGAGTTTGACACCGCTGCAGTGCTCTTCCAGGGTTGTGTGGTTGCTACAGCAAGGAGCAACATTAGCCACAGAGTGGTTTAATTAATTGAGCTTTTCTTGTTTGGGCTGGGCGGGATGCCTGGTTGGTTGCTTGGTTTAATTTTGCAAACTATGTCTAGAAGAACTGTAAGAATGTCCCTCCAAATCTGAATAGCCTTAAATTTTATAACATCAGCAGGAGTCTCTAACGTGAGACCGAAAGAGTCAAGTGACCTGTTTAAACCTCAGCACAAACTGGTCAGTAGCCTGCTTAGGACATAACTCTTCAGAATATGTTAGATACTGGAACAACCAGCACGTTGTTGCAATAATATCATGTATTGGTTCTTGAGACATTCCTCACCAACAGCAATACAAGAGACATCTTCAGAGTAAATATGCAATACAATTTATGGAAAGTACTAAACATTAAGTGCTAAGAACTAAGTTACTACATAATACATCTAGTAGTCTCATCTGCCATATGTACAAGTTTGGCTTTTGTATGCATACAATAACTAATGTTGAAATGGTACCCACTGAAATTACAGCTGTGGCGGAACCTTGCAGTACACGACAGTTACCACTAGATAACACTATCTTCCTATGATTATGAAAGACTTGCTCAAGAGACTGAGAAGATCTTAGACATGTATGATTCTTTTCACTTGGGTGTCTACACTTGCAGATCACTTAATCTGCACATTTTAAGTGAATAATTCAGAGGAGACATTGTTTTGTAGAGCAGATCACGTTTTATCTGAATCCAGTAAGCAAGTGCTGTATAAACAAAAATAACCTTCATCTTGTTGCTGATTGTAAATGTGTGTTTTTCCCCCAGTTACCATTCCAAACACAAAGGCAAACTGAGGCACAAAGGGTCTAGTCTCCATCCTTTCAAGTAAGTGTGAACCTGCTTTTTGATGAAGAAATGCAAGGTGGTAACAGGTTAAACTTTGGTGCAGACATGCTGGTTAAAAAACTAAGCAGCAATAATACCACATCATTCCTACATTTAAAAAAATCTGGATCTAGAGGAGGAGCAGCTGGGAAGAGAGTGGGAGTCAGTATATTCTGTGCTCTAGTCTCAGGTTTGAGAAGTCCCAGGGCTCCAGCTGAGACTTTAGGCAAGTCAGGGACTCCTCTGTCTCCATTTCCTCTTTGTAGAAGGGAGGAAGGGAACCTACATACCTCATTTGAGTTACAGCAAGCATTGCCATTTGTTCTGAACAAGGAAAGGGCTGTAATTGTATAGCATCATCTTGGCAGGACCTCTTCTGTGGAAGGCTGTTTCTTTAAAACAGGAACCAGTTTTTCTTCTAGTTTCTGAAAAAAGCCAGTCATTTTATGAGCAACACCCAAGCCTTCATTTTGTCAGCACACCAGTTTCCCTGGGCAGATTATCCCAACTGTCCTTGTCTGTGCCACAGGAAAGCCCTGCAGGAGAAGGACAGGCTGTGGCTGCTGAGAGAGCAGAGGCGGAAGAAGAAGCTGCGCAAACTGCTGAAAAGGATCAAGAACAACGACACGTGCAGCATGCCCGGCCTGACCTGCTTCACCCATGACAATCAGCATTGGCAGACGGCCCCCTTGTGGACGTGTAAGGACCACCTCAGCCACACCGCGACCAGGGGGGCAATGTGCTGTGCTCTTGTCCTTAGCATTAGTCCTAGAGAGGACAGTTTAATAACACGCAGTCCGCTGACTAAAGTGACAAGAGTTTCGTCATAACACACAGCAGTGTGTTTACCTTGGCTATTACTGGTACCCCAGGAGCACTTTCTTTCTGAGCAGGGGCTGTTGAAAAGGGGGTTACAAGTAGAGACTGCAGATGTGATGATTTAAAAGTAACAGGCATTTTTCCTACAAAGACCTTTCTAGCTTAGCACTCAGGTCTGCTCTAAGACATGCAGGGAAGCCACTGGCTCTGTAATGACATTTGACGTACTAAGCTGATGAAGTGCTTACATTAGAACAGCATACCTAACCCTTAGGAAACGGGGCAGATGCCAGCCTGTCATCTGGAGGCTTGCTTTTCTAGGCTTTAGGGAGCTCTGGGAACACGGCACAAAGAAAAGCAAGTCTGTGGCTGCTACTGGAAGGATTTTGCTTGGTTTTGACTGCCTCATGCATTAAGCTGTACTATTGGTGAGAAGCTGAGTTGCTCAAATCAAGCCTGTCTCTTTTCAGAGGGTGACTGGTGCCACTAGTTAAATGTAGAGATCACCTGTGGTCTCTTTGTAAGACTATCAGGTAATGATTTCAGTGAGGCATAACTAGGGATACCCTCTGATTTTACCAAATTTATGTTTATGCTTATACAAATGTGAGGAGGCTCAGAGGAGAGTGCTGCTAAACTGACCAAAGCTCCAGGTGACTTGTGCTTTACCTGCAGTGTCATAGGCAGGCAGCCACCATGTTAAATACAGTATCTCTGCTACACTATGTAAGACTAAAGACACCACCTTCAGCTGTGATTCACCATGGGGTGAGGGGGATGTGCACTGGAGAACATGGTGCCCCATATAGCAAATAACTGTTAGGGTAAATCGGAGGTGAGACAGTAGGACAGGAAGGCAAATTTCATGCTACCTTTGATCTAGCAAGCCTGTGCAACTGGGCAATGAAGATGCAGTAACATGGATGTCAGCCTGGACTAGCAGCTAAAACGCAGGCCCACTGGGGACATAAAAGGCTGCTAGTGAATGCTGCCATGTCTTCTCTGCTATGGTTACACATACTAGCTTGATCAGTGCTAATATGGGTTAGCCTACCCTTGATGTAATTACCACTTTCATTTTTTTATACATATACATTTAAGAATTGGGTGTGGAATAAGGTGGATGGGTTATAAGAAGATTTAAAATCAGTCTAGAAGGGATCACAAAAAGTCGTCTGGTCCATCCCTCTGACCCGAATCAGTTATGCCAAGGCAGATTTTTCCTGTTAGTGGGAAAAGGCAGGGATATAATATAAACTATTTTCCCAGGATGGGGAAAATTAGGGAAACTGCTCACCCAGGGACTGGCATGGTAGGTATTATTCATCAGGCTGTGTTCGTGCCCTGCAAGATCAAGTATCTGTTCACTGACAAAACACTTTAACACCGAGTTAAGTTGCTTGATAGGATCTTTGGTTCTATAATTTCTGGTGGTCAGTGATACCTTAACTGCCTGTGGAGCTGACACTAGCTCTTAGAAATTATCTTCATATACTGCAGATGTGTCCACCATTGGGCATTAGCTGTATTGAGTAGTAGAGCAGTCAGCATGGAGAGCTGGCAGAGCCATCGTTGAGTTATGAGCTGTTTGGAGAAGAGGTGCCCAAGTGCCTCCCCCTGCTGCTTTCTCCTCTGAGTGGTGCACCTCTTTCATTTGGTAGCAGTGTAAATTGAGAGCCTGGTGTGCCTCATTGCAGCAATGAGTTCTCCAGGATACAGCAGGGCACAGCAGACATCTTCCCAGAAGAATTGTCACAGGAATGTAGCCAAGGGATTTATTAAGTGAAGGTGTTGTTAAATGGCATCCCACATGTAAAGGTGGAGGCACTGTAAACAGGGCAAAGCAACTGCATACTTTGCAGGCGTATTGGTGTTTCTGTTGAGTACGCAAAGTATTCTAGAGCAGGCATTGGTACAGCTAGCTCACTGAGACTTGGCCAGCTCAGTCCACTGACCTCCAGTTCTACCCTGGATACTCAGTAGCTTGCCTGGAGGACTTCCATGGTGGTTTTAGATCTCCCCGCTGACAATTCCTTGTCAGTCCACTGCAGGGCTAGGACTCCTCCCCCTCGCCCCTTCCCAATTCCCTGCCCTGTGCATGTGTCAAGAATCTGGGCCCTTTCTAAATTACTTATGGTAATTTGGACTATATTTCTCTGACTGAGGCAGAGAATAACATGGCCCTTGATCAGTCTCAGATTAATGCTATAGGTAGAATTTAAACTGATAGCACTTGGGTGTAGCTCTGGTTTGACAGACAGTCTATTCCTTTGAGTCGTCCAGGTCCTGTAACGCCAGGGTCTCTGGAAAGTCACCTTCTGCACTGGAGTCTGTTTGGTTTGGGCAAATTGAGAGTGCCTTTCCTTTAATCGCATTCAATGTTTCTTCTCCAAAGTAGCTTCAGCGGCCAGACGCAATTAAGTGTTGTGCGACTGAGCAGGTAGGGGACAGTCAGAGCCATGGTTTGAGTTGTGTTATGCAGCACTATTAGTATAATCCATGGGCCCTGCACTGTTTTTAGGGGACAACTTGAGGCCTAGTTTAAAGAAGCCCTTCAAATTCAAACTTGGATTACTAACCCCAACCAAAGAAGTGCAGCATATTCCAAGAAAGTCCAAGTAAGCCACTGTTAAAGTATCTAATGGTCCTTCATGAGCAACTACATAGTACTTTACTGAAGTTCTAGTAATATAATGAAGTACAGGCCTAGCAATAGCCAGTTGCACTATTATGTCTTTAAGTGTCTTAAACCTTTCATTTGCAGTGGGTCCTTTCTGTGCCTGTACCAGTGCCAACAACAACACATACTGGTGTATGAGGACAATCAATGAGACGCACAACTTCCTGTTTTGTGAATTTGCTACTGGTTTCCTGGAGTATTTTGATCTCAACACTGACCCATATCAGGTACCTGTTAGGGAACAGAATTGTAAACACCAAAAACACGCCCATTATTTTCTTCTGCATGAAGAAATTATCTAACGTTTCAATACTAAATAAATTGTCTTTCATTAACTAGACAATATACATTGAAAGAGGATACCTGGTATAAACTAACATGATGATAGTAGCTCTTAATCAGGTCAATATATTCTAACTGGCAGAAAAGCAGGCAGTTTGTGGATGCTGGCTCTGTCACTTGATCCCTGGCCATAGCTCACCTATAGGAATTCGTGGTTTGATCTTATTACAGAGGCCTTCATTCCACATTGATGCAAACCCCTAGGCTACACTGGTCTAACCATAACTCACACCCAGGCACTTTACCCTGGGTCAAAGCATCTCTTGCTATTTAATATAGGTATGACTGCAGAGGAGATGAGCAAATTCAATGTGAATTATGTCAATGCAAAGTACAACTTGGACTGATACAGCATACCTACCCTATGGTTGCTAGCGTAGCTAAATTTGGTGCAAAAACACCCAACGGGTTGCATTTGGGGCCTCGTTCATAGACATAAACAGATTTCCCTTATCTTGCTTCCTTTAATAATGATGTTCCTCAGATCTCCTAAACCAGCAGTGGCCAACCTGTGGCACAGGCAGCCTGTGGGGTACACAGCAGAATAGAGAAGCAGCAGGGAGAACAGTGGCAGAAAGGACAAGAAGCAAAAACCAGAGCAACAGAGGTGGCAGGGGAAGGGGATCGGAGTGCCGCTTGTGGCAGCACCTGCGAAAAAGGCTGGCTCCCGCTGTCCTAACAATTAATCTTTTATTCATTCCCAGCTGATTAATGCAGTGAACACACTAGATAGAGATGTTCTTAACCAACTGCATATCCAACTCATGGAGCTAAGAAGCTGCAGAGGGTATAAACAGTGCAACCCGAGAACTAGGAATATGGACCTGGGTAAGGACCCCCCCCCCTTCTACTTAACTCAACATCCCAAAAGGGAAAGCGGTTTCTAATTTACTGACATAAATCTTACAAAAAATGTAATGGATTTTTGATAATTACAAATAGCTCAAAAATAGTGTCTTGTTATTTGAAAACTGTTCAAAGTTCACAGCCAAATGTATCACCATGCAAAATTTCTACTCGTCCATTTGAAGAATCACCCATTTCTCAATATTGTATAAAAATGTAAGTCTACTACTTTGCTTCTTAGAAGACTAGGAAAGTAGAGGTGGGAGGGGAGTTTGGGGAGAAGAAACTGAACAAACAGCAAAAGAGTACAGCCTGGAGAAGTTGAAAATGCAGTTATGCTTTGAACTATTAAAACTGGCTTGTAGAGTTCTTTTTTGCTGGTTTAAAATAATCAGTGGAAGACTGCCTCTTCCACTCTGGCTGCTGATCCTAGGGGAGCAGGCTGGATCTTACTCCCCAGAATCCTCTGCTGGAAAAAATCCCAGTCTAAAACTAGCACCGTGACCAGATCTTACTGTTTAGTTGGAGGAGAGCCCTGCCAGTAATTCCAGTGTTTGTTCTGTCCAGAAGTTATGATGTAAAAGAAATGAAATGCCCACAATAATTGCCAGTTGCTCTGGAAAAAAAAAAATCACTGTTGCCACAGACGGGCAAGGTATATTACACAAGAAAGATCATACAAGAAAAAGTAAATACTGGGTTTGGAGACAAGAATTTATGCAAGAGAATTAAAACAGAAAAACCTCGCTGTGCTTTTCTTTCATCAGCTTTAGAGATTTCATCAAGTGTTATCCTCAGGCAGCAGGCCTGCCACCTGTTGTCAGATCATACCAGCTCTCCTCAGCTGCTAAACTAGACACTTGCTTTCAAGACCAGGGGGTTCCTAGACAAAATTTCTCATTTAAAAAGACACCTCTCAAATAACTTAACATCTCCCCAATTCTTTATTCAGATCTGAGGGAGCATGTGTGTTATACAGATTATTTCTTTCACCCAAAATGCTAATGACAAGCTTGGTATCCATCCTAATTACAAATTATATTTAAGACAGCAAAATTACTAAGGTTGTTGTTTGTAGCTGTGTTGGTCTAAGGACATAGGCAGACCAGGTTCTTTGGATAGATGTGCTGTCTTTTATTAGACCAACTAAAAAGTTGGAAAAATTGGTCTTTGCAAGCTCTCGGACATTTGTGCCCAAAAGCTTGCAAAGAACAATTTTTCCAACATTTTAGTTGGTCTAATGAAGCTCTTTGGGTAGATGTGTTGTCTTTTAATCAGGCAAGTTCCTACAAACCTAATCAGATTTCCATTAGCCATTCTGTAATTCAAGAGACAGAATAGCCTGGAAGGCCCAGGGGGAGGGACTTGGGGGTGGCTTGATTGTAGTGCCAGTGCCCCTCAATGCTGATTGGTGGAGAGGCCCCAGCAGGTGGAGGAGGGACTAGGGGGCAGCCGCCATCTTGTCTGTTGTCCTTCACGCTACCCTGCCAGCTGGCGCCTTCCCCTTCTGGCTCCTCCTGGGGAGCCAGCATTTTATTTATTCTGTTGATTTTTTTGGCTTTCACAAAATCTGCAAATTAAGTAGGACCCTTCTGATAAGTAAAATACTTCAAATTACTTATTGCATATGGGGGCAGCCTTGATAGTAAGCCTTAATTGCTTTATTCCCCATTAACTAGAAAAACTTTAATTAAAATAAATAATTGTACCCTTTTCCTGAGGCTGTACTTTGGTACCATATATAGAGCTGGTCACACATTTTCCAGTGGAACATTCTTTTGGTGGAAAGCACCGATTAGTCATTAACTAACTCTTCTTGGGACTATCCTAATTTCCATAAAACCAGCACTGAGGCTTTTTGGGAAACATTCCACATGTATCCAAAATGAAATACAGTAGAAATATTCCCTGGTTTTAAAATAATGTTTAGAAATGTTTAGAAAATAGTGCCCGGTGTGTAGAATTAAAATTACTTGTTGTAAATTAAATACAGTATTTAGGTCATGATGCAAAAAATCTAGATCCTTATTGAAATGGAGTAAGAAAGGTGCTGTTTGTGATTAACGATGGCATATGATAGTATTTGTAGTACATAATTCCAGCTAGTGTGCGTTACTAAGTTGCTCATAAAGTGGCTTGAGAATTACTGGATAGAAAATTGACAGCTAAGATTTGATTTTTTTCACTGTGACTTACTAGATTCCTTATTCTCTTACTGCCACCAGTTGATAACATTATTATGTTTTCCTTATTTAGGGCTTAAAGATGGAAGCTACGAGCAATACAGGTACATTTAAAAAATGTAGTTGAAGGTGGGATTTCAGTAATCATTGAGACCAAGCAATGTCAAGCTTGGGGGTGGCAGCAAAGAGGTTAGAACCACTGTCAGGAACACCTTGGATGAATCTGAAAGCTCTCCATCCATGTTAATAATTTCCTTGCGTGTTCCTGCTCGACCGCTAGAAAGTTCTTTTCCTTGTAATCAAAATTCAGGCTAAAATATTCTTCTTTCCTTGTTAGATTTTAGCATAAGTGGTTTTCTTGGTGATGGTTAACTGTTTTTTCTCATTTTGCTGTTTGAAAATTAGGCAGTTTCAGCGTCGAAAGTGGCCAGAAATGAAAAGACCGTCATCTTCCAAGTCACTGTGAGTTGGAAGTCTCTTCATAACATCAGCTTGACATTACTTTTGTTGTCTCTCTTTGCACGCAGCATCTGTTTAGTCCGGGTCTGTTCTCAGTTGAGTCTAGTCTCATCCTCTACACTTTTAATTAAAAATTCCTCTTGATGATGCAAGGAAGAAGGTAGTGTAGGTCTATCAATTACAGTTGATCTTGTATTCAACCAGGGCAGAGTCTAACATTGCTGCAGCTGAGAAAGTTAAAAATTCAAACTGGCTCCATATCTTATTCATTTTCTTTGCTTGAAATGAAGGCTCAAAACTCTCACTGGTATTAGGAGCAAAACAGCACCCCTGAAAGGAGACAGCAACTAATTCAGTGCAACTTTGAGTTTCCTATGTGACCTGCTCAGCATGTTATTTAAGGCGCTGGTTTCAATCTTTATTTTAAGACACTGAGAAGCCAGTGAAGACTACAGCTGTAAAATGGTCCCCATGAGAAATGTCATTAACAAGGAGCTCCCACAAGTTTCTAAACGGCTTCAATTTGTCACTCCCACTAGTAGTAAAGCACAGTGGAATATTTCTGGTCTTGAAGTGACACACATTTAGTTTGGCGTTAGAAGTGCTCCATTTCAGATAAAAGAATGCAACCTTAAGGCCAAATATAGGTGAAAAATGTTCCTTAGTTACAGTTGCCTCATAGGCATTAGGAGCAAAGACCACGTGAAACCCGAGCAACCAAAGATTGACTTAAAAGTATTTAAAATGTGTTAGAAGTATTCCTTATTCACTGTACTATGGACATACTTCTCAACCTGTCAGAGCCTAGACATGGGACAAAGAGCCTAAGAAATCATTCACTCAGGAACCTAAACACCGTAGGGCTCCTTTGTGGACATGGACAGCTAGTCAGTTTCTATGACTTAATTCCCAGTCTTTTAAAAAAAATGGGCATAGCAGCACACCTTTTTTTATCCCTTTAGGAGAATGATGAAGATAATTTAATAATTATGAGGCTCTAATTGTAAGATGTTAGGGGGCTATTCAAGTACCTTAAATTGAGGTAGTGTAAAGTACTCTACCCTTAATTTCATGATTTTTTTTTATTACTGATACAAATAACTTACAACCACCAAAATGGGGGAGGGGAGAAAAATTAGGTTTAGAATAAAAATAAGTAACAGAGTATATATGGGACCTCTACTAAAAATGCTGCCTTAAAGCAATTTAGCTAAAGCAATTAAGGTGAAGTATAATACTGGGACTCTCAATCACAACTAACGCATGCAATTTTAACCCATTAATAGTTGTTCATGTTAATTTTTTTTTTTTTTAAGTGTGTTAAATTGCACAGATGGTTTTGGAGCCTGTGCCTGGGCTCGGCTCCTCTGCCATCACTGCCGCCTCAGGGCTGCCCTGCGGGGCAATGGTGGCAGTGCAGAGGACCACAGGGCAGCCTGGGTGCAGGCTCC